AAGACAAAATCCTGGACAACTTCAAACTTTTCTCCATTTATCATGAGGTTACCTTTTGGTCAGGATGTGAGGATTTAGTATTTTTTATATCCATTCTGAAGACTGAAATCCTGATCTTCATCAGCAAGTGCTTCAAATTCTCCTCACTGTCAGCAAGCCAAGCTTGTGTCATCTGTTTATTGCAGCTTGCTACTGAAGCCTTCCTTTAATCCTGATGCCATATTTTTCTTAATATAATTTAGTTTCTCTGATTATTTTCTCAGTATACAATTTCTCAGATCAAGTAAGTATGGTGAGAGGATACTTGATGCCCACCTTTCCTGATTTAAACCATGCAATATGTCCTTGTTTTTGTGATCCACACAACTCAAAGCCTTGGCGTAGTCAATAAACCACAAATAAATCTCTTTCTGCTGTTCTCTGCTTTGAGCCAAGATCCATCAGACGTCAGCACTGATATGCCTTGTTCTATGTCCTCTTCTGAATCAGGCCTGAACTGCTGGCAGCTCCCTATCAATGTATTGCTGCAACCCTGGTTGGATGATCTTCAGAAGAATTTTACTTCCATATGATATCAGCAGTATTATTTTATAAGTTGAACATTCTGTTGGGTCTCCTTTCTTTGGAATGTTAGTTCAATTATAAATCTCTTCCAGTCAATTGGCCAAGAAGTTGTTTTCCAAATTTCTTGGCATAGATGAATGCCTTCAGTGTTTCATCAGCTTGTTCAAACATTTCTATTTCCTAGACTGTGAGAGAATAAATTTCTGTTGTTAAACTCATCTACTGTGGAATCTCAATGATCTTTTGGATCAAAAAACCAAACTCTAAAACTTGCTGAGCTTTCCTCTCTGCCTTGAATTTAACGGACCCAGCAGCTTGCCACAGACGCTACTGTTTTGGTAGAATCTGTTTTTGAAGATACCTGTTTAGAAGATCTGTTTTGAAGATCTGTGAAACTAAGATAAGTATATTACTAGAAAAAGTTACCTGCAGCCATCTACTCATTGCAGAGACATGTTTTAACACATTAAAAAATACAATAAGTCTGTGCACGTATGACTTGGAGCCATAGTAGCAATACTTTTTAGTTTACTTTCACGTGCTTTTGTTGAGTAATGTTCAACAAAACATGGTTGGTCGCCTCACTTCATCTTAAACATGGGTCAGTCCTGTGTCATCCTTTTGATCGGTAGCATGTTTAAATCCATCATTAAGGTTATTGCTCCCATGCATCTCACTGTGAGTCTCTCTTGCTAGTTCACCAATCAGGAAGTTCTCTGCGATTGATCCCTTCTGATGGAATGCTTATGACAGATGAGTTAGACAGTGTTTGGTAGTAATCTACAAGATTTTCACTGGATAATGTTTGTGATGGTACCGTCAGGTCTTTTTCTTAGTCTCACTTAGCCTGGAAGTTCTGAAGAAACTGTTAGATCTCTCTCTGTAGCTAGATATACCTCGGTCCATGGCTCCGCGTGAGAAAGAATTCACACCGAAGCATGGTTCGTGATCGAAGTGAGTTTTATGAGTTAGAAAAAGTCTCAGGTTTACACAGCACCCGAGGGACTCCTTCCGAACATGCGGCCTGGTAGGAAGCTGCTCAGTGTCACGCAAAGGTGTCCCAAAGTCCTGCCAAAGCTCTCTGCGCCAAAGTTCTCTCTCTCCCCTCGACGCTGGGCTTCTGCCTTTTCAAGGATTCCATGGGGAGTCGTGGTGGAAGACCCCTGATCGACCCCATTGGCAGAATTGAATTCACCTGGCCTAGGTGGGCCAATTTAAGTTCACGCCCACCCCTGCCTACCAGCGGGAATCCAAGCCTCTGGGCATATGCAGTGCGCCACTCTGTTGTTCCCCTAGCTTGGCCCTCTGGGCACGCGTTAACGGACATTCCCAGCTCTAGCTGACCTACCTAACAAAACCTGGTGGCATTTGAAATATTAGTAGGATAGCATCCAGCATTATTGCATCATACAAGCCAACATAGCCTGGCAAACTGAAGAATGAGTGGTGGAGACACTAAATAGGAAGGTAGAAACTTAGCATGTGACTTACGAGTTTTTCTGAATTATCTCTTTTGTTAACACTGAAGTACCATTAAGTTGAAACTGTTAATTCAATAAACATATTGAGATAAAGGTTTTATTGCCTGAGTTTTTGCATTTCCTTTATTATTTTGATTTTCCTTATACTAATAAATATATTGCCAATGTGCTTAATAAGAGAATAGTTGCAATTATATAGTCTCATAAGCTTGGCTTTCTGTTAAGGTTTATCAAAACAACTAAGACTATAATCCCCCCCTCACTCTAAGTTAGCCATTTGTTCTGTAAAATAGTGGAGAAGTACTAAACAACGTTACTTTAGGCCCTCCATACTCTGCATGTACCATGCAGAACTGATAAACAGGCTCCTTCTGTACACAAAGAAAAAGAGCACCAACAAAAACAACCCCAAAACAGAACTAACTGATCATTTGTCTGCTTTTCAGGAAAA